TTGCACTTTTCAGAGATTGCATAACTATTTTTAAATTATAAATTTTAAACGTTAAGAAGAGCTGAGCCAAAACTAAATTAAAATTAAAATATAAAAAACAACACATCAATGATCTATATACAACACTGTCTGGTAACATTCATTACCATGAGAAAATTGGTACCACTGGGAAAAGATAACATAAATAAAGGTCTATTGGTATGATGTGATTAAAATGAGCTTTATAAGGTGTTTTTAATGATATGAAAAACTACAATAAAACGTTAAAACAAAAAGAGATAAGCAAAAAACACACAATCTGTGTATTAAATGAAGACTGAGTAAGAATATGCAAAATTATAACAACAGTTTGGGTTTGGGGATGGTTGTCATAAATCTGAGGAATAGAGAAAAGTTAAAGAAGACAATCAATCCGTCACAGTGGGTAGATGTAAAACATCTATAATTAGGACAAAAAGTAACTAATTAACAATAATAATTCACCAAATAAGAATAACTGAATTAGCACAGTTTAGGGGTAAATGCTGATGTCTACTATAGGAACACCAAAGAGAGGGTTCTCAAAATTCTGGTAATGGCAATCCTCTTGGAGGGAGCATTCGAGTTCCATCTAAGCCATCACTGTCAAGATGTATCCAGCCAGGTACTATAACCAAACTCTTCATATGGAAACCACTCATATTTTTACCAAGCAGTTTGGAATTGTCCCTCGCTAATGGATTTCCAAGATAACGTTGGCTATCCATAAACAAAGAAAGGATATTTAGAGATAATCATCCTGGAAACAGCGGTGACCATGGGGATTTCTTAACATTTCTGAGCAATATTATGATTATTTGATGCAATGTCAAAAGAAAAGAGTGAAAGTATGGGGAAGAAATATTTCAGCTACAGCAATAATTTGCTAGTGATAGATAATGTAGTGCATCTAATATCATTTTCAAATAAAAAGCTGAAAGCATTTAAATTAACCATTATAATGCTCAATGGAAGGGTGGGAGTTAAATCAGTAAAGTCCAGTGCATAATCCTTAGTTATAGAATAACAATGGCTTGGGTCTCTAAAATTCTAAAGTTTGCAAAAGATCCTTTTAAAGTCACTCTGTACCACTTTTTAGTATTGCTGCTAGCAAATCAGGTAGATTTTAGTATTAGCTTCTTTTATTTCCCTTGATGCCAGGAACAGATCAAATGACCCCAAGTAGACATTAATGCAGACATTAGTGGTGTTTCAAACCTGCATATATTTGAATTCAGTTTGCTAAATATTCATTGAGCACAAACAGAAAAGCATAAAAAGCAAAAAAGCCTAGGTCCTTGAGCTTGCCCGGTGAAAACAGAAGTCACAAGAAGCCCTGATAACAACAGAATAATTAACTGTATAGCCATTGTCACCATCCTCATATTCTTGGGAACCAAATCAACCTGGACAGGCACAGAACAAAAGCATTTAAGGAAATTGAGAGCACAGGTAAATCCCAATGTTACTCCCTCTTTGTGAGATCTATGCATTGAATAACAAATATTTGAGGCTCCCAAGGCACCAAACCCTATTTATGTACTGGGAATAGAGCAGTCATCAAAACAAAGCCTTTGCTCTCATGAAGTCTACACTAGTGGAAATGCTGACTATATATCACAGACTAGGTAAAGTGACTCACACTGAACCTTGAAAATAAATATCTGTCAATGACGAAAAATGATTTCTCAGTAAATTGGATATTTGAGAGGACAAGATTAGCAACTTTTTTTTGTTAAGAATAAAAATGTAATGGAAACTGATACTGGGAAATAGAAATAGGACAGAGAAAGATGGATATGCCCCAGTTACCAAAGAAGGTGTGGGGAAGGGAAGAGAGCTTACCGCCAAAGCCTGTGCAAGGACGATAAGCAGACAAGCTGAGTGGTGGCTTATAATGAAACAAAGGACTCAGAGAATTCTTCTTCAGATTCTCCAATTTCTACAGAACTGTGATTACTTTCTACGCCACATGTGTCACAGAGCAAGCCACTTATCCCAATAAGGTCAGTCAGCCAACCAACTGCCACAATTACCCTAGGCATCCTACCAAGGCCATATTCTGAGTCAGACATGAAAGAGCTCCCTAATATGTACAGAAACATGTCAGCGGCTTCATGACACATATATACACAGTGCATACACATTCACACATGCACCTGTGTGTGTGTACATATGGATATAGATAGGTAGATAGTTCCTCTCTGGTTGACAAAGGAGCAGAGGTCAAGGTCAGTTAAAAACCTATTTGCATGTCCCCCCCCCAGTGAGTCATACTTTCCCATATACCAAGGGAGAATAGAGAAAAAAGAAGCAATGTTCCATACAACACACTATATAGGTGACATATCTATACATTTTCTAGTCTGGCCCCATCACAAATTGCCTTCTCCCCACCTAAATGAAAGCATTTCTGGTCTAGACAGTTGAAGCATAATAGACCTACATATTTTTTAAATTGGTAACCTCAGCCAGGTAAAACAGAGCATAAATTGGGTGGTTGTTTTTAAAAGCATAAAACAAGTGCCAATATCAATCTAGCCTGTTAGAAGCCCAGAGAGTGGTTATCCTTCATGCAGGGATAGTGCTGGGAAGGTGGCACACATGTCACTAATGTTCTACTTACTAAGTCCAGGGCTAGTCACACAGAAGTGGTCTCTCCACAGAGAATCAGCAAAGTATACACTTACATTCACTATCCTGCAGGTATGCTATATTTCAATAGGACATATTTACTTTAGCTCCCTAATAATTTGTGGTTTGTCACTAATTTCTTTTCATCTCTTCCTGTGACATTAAATTATCCAGAGATTATTCAGAACCCTGGTATTTTCCCTAGACAATTTGCAGACCAACAAATATATAAATTAATTAATTCTACAAACCTTATTAGTCTTTACTAATTATATCATTGATCAAATATCTCCTCTGGACAGTTATATAAAATCACTTAAAGCAATTATTGGAAAAAGTCCCTAATTATATGTATAGGAATCATTTTACCAAACTTCCTGGTTAGTAATTCCCTTACACATAGGGACAGAAGAGAAAAATCTCACTACTACTATATATATATCTTTTAAGACATACTTTTAAATCCCTCTAAGGAGCTATATAAATAACCCACAACCAAATGATAGCTACACTTATGCTATCACAAGACCCGTGAGTCAAATCTATTTTTTATCTTCATTTCTTCTCTTACTCAACTTGAAAATGGTAAAGAAAAGTGGTAATAGTACAGGAGAGGAGTTGCATAGAGCAGAGGAACTTGGGAGCAAGTAAATCCCCAGCAATGCAACTCAAGAGTGCCGGGCCCTTCAGTCTTCCCTGCTGCTACTCAGCACCCTCCCACGGACCTTAAGCACACCTGTACCACTTTCTTCTCTGCAGGAAAGGGCTACCAAAGCAATTCACACCAGTGGAAGGACTGGACCAGTGTCTAACCCAGTGCTTCTTATATGGGTGCATGCTGACTCAAGCTGAGAATTTAATCAAAGCAATAGATTTTATTCCCGTGTTAGAACAGGTAATCTTAAAACAGCTTTTTAATTAACAGATTAAAAGCTGGGATGTTTAAGTAGTCAAACGTTAAGGTAATAAAAAGACGGCTTTCTTTTCCCTACTTGTTTGAGCATTGGTTTAAAAAAAAAAGGCTTCTTTAAAAGGGTGTATTGATGGCTTATATATATATTGATGTATCAACCACAAATGAGAAATGTCTCTTCATGGACACTATATCTTAAATGCAGTTCTCAGTCCCTCTCCTCCCCTTTACCCTGCTCCTACTGTGGAGGTCTAAGCTGGGGGAAGAGTCCAGCAATGCTAAGCAGTGAGTAGCAAGGAAGCAATCTGATCAATGCTGATACACAGCTACATGAAGACCCCTCTGGGCCTGGATCATGGGGTCTGTCTATTAGTTCCCGAGTGTGGAATTCCCCCAGCTCTCTCCATGCACTGCAGCAAGTAGCTGTGTGCAACCTCAAGCTTCATTCTCTTCAAATCTAAAACAGACACAACAGTGTCCCTACCTCCTAGTGCAGTTGTGAGAATTAGATGTCATAACATACATAAAGCAATTAACAGTGTGTCTGGCACATAGCTTATGGACAAGGAATTGTAACTATGTTTGCACTAACAAAAATTTTCATCTAAAAGATGACTTTATAATATCACATGACAAATACAGGATTTACAGAGACTAACACTCTGCCAAAAAGAAAAATGATCTTTTAAAGTAACACAAGTTAAATGTGTATAAAAAGCCTTTCAATAGAGCCTGGCTTCTTGCCAGATGACTTTCTAACTCTGAATTCAGAACAAATAAATTCACATAAACAGCTTCAAAAAAAGACCATGGACTTTGGAGTGACCTGTCATAAGGCACTTACACTCTCTGAGCCTCAGTCTCCTCACCCATAAAGTGGGAATAATTCCCACATCAAGTAATACTCAGGTTTTAGATGTCATTTGCAAAAGGCCTTAGCAGTATCTTGCACATTAGTAGATCATTATTTTAAAGCAGATGGAATAAGAGAAGTCATCAGAAGTTTTATTCAAAGCTGGAAAAGTTTTAAGAGAAAAATTTCCATCCTCTGTATGTCATTTTTCCCTTCTTTGTAGCATTCTTACAAATCAGATGTGCTCCTCCTAATGCTACACTACTTCATTTGTCTCCATATCTTCTTCCAGCCCTCCAAGGACCCTCCAAGTACCTACCAGTGCCTTGCTGAAAGATAGTAATAAATTGATCCTTGAAAAGCCCTGCTGCAGGAGAATTTTTACATCACTTTAACTCAGCCTAAGGAAAGTGAGACTCTCTTCTGGAAAGAGGAAGAAAAGAAGAGCAATTTACAGTTCCTGGACTACAAATTATTTTTTTAGCCACCAATGGGAGACATCTGAGAAACAACATTTTTCGTAGCTTACTTCATTCCCTACTTTCTATGGAGATAAGAATGACATATGAGAACAAGGCTTACCTATTTGCACCATTTCTTCACTGCCAGCCTGGAAAGAAGGGGAGAAAGTAAGAAAAAGAAACAAGTTACTGTGTTTCATCTTATCACATTGTGCGTCTTATTTCTACCATTAATGCTTTTCAGGAGCTAGCTAATCAGGAGATGCTGGAGACCTGGATTGATACAGGCTGCACTTTGGTTTATAGGAGAATGAGCCAATTCAATAACAATTGGCAGCAAGGGGTAGTTTGCCTGTTTTAATTTTAATTTAACATTTATGAAGCAGGCAAAAATACTGATGTTCTTATTCTTTTCTGAAAACTGCAGATATTGGGTCAGGATTAGAAAAGAAACTCTGTATTTATACGTGCGAAAAGAAGCCTAAAAGGGGGCCTGATTAATCAGATTTGAGGTCAACAATCAACTAAATAATTCTCTACGTTTTACCCTAGGGCCAGATCAAGCAGTCCAGAGAAGCTACAAAAACTCAGGGTAATTCTGTGTCCAAAGTCCCACCAGCCGTGTGCTGATGTGATTTACTACAAACGGCTGGGCTCGTCCCGCTGAGCTTTCTCAAGGACTCTTCTGAGAGCATCAGGCTTCACCTTGAGTCTCCAAAGGGTGGGGGTTGGGCCGAAAAGAAACAGAGCTGCACTCAACTTAGCTTTAGAAAGAGGAGGAGTTGTGCAGAGGGGGAGGGGAGAAACGCAGCCAGCGCCTCCAGTCTCTCTGCCCAGAAAAATGCGGGGCAGGACACGTCCCCAACCCCCCTCCCCAACTGTCAAACCCTGGCCCAGTCGCGGTCCTCCCAGGACACGTGTCTACTGGATCGCGCCCTGTCCGGCCCGAGGACTTCCTGAAACCCCCGCCTCCCGCTGCCCGAAAAACCCGTGAGCGAGGAAGCCCCCGCGAGCCCGACTCGGGCTGCAGCAACCAGAGCCCTGGGATCCTGCACCCAGCGTCCAGAACTTCATTCAAGCGCCCAGACCGCCCTCCGACAAGGGGAATCCCAGATGGCCCAGCGAGGATGCGAACTGGCTGCAGTTTGTCACCAGGAATTGTTACGAATGCCGCAAAGTGGTGAAGCCCTAGGTGTGACAACCCTCCGTCAGCAGAGAGCCGTAACCTCCCCTTGCAGTTCAAAACCCCCCAGCACAAAAAGCCCCGCACGCTGCGCCCAGCCCTCAAAACGCGGTTCCTGAAGGCACAAGATAACAGGGAAGGATGGGAGGGGGAGGAGGAAAGAGAGGAGGGGGGAAGAGGGGAGGAACTTTTTCGGGAAAAGGTTGGGTTTGAGTTTTTTATTATTATTTTCCACTTACTTGTCCATCAGCTGAAGTCCTAACCTCTACCAGTGCAGCTGCTATCAACCAAAGTGACAGGAGAACCATCACGAGTCGAGTTCACTTTTCAACTACTGGGCAAACCAAGTGCCCAGAGCAAACCCCCCCAAAATAAGTTTCTTTTAAAAAAAAATTTTTTTTAAGGAAAAAAAATGCAGAAAAAAACCCCTGATCTTTCGCGCTTTGCTTCAATGAAAAGGAAATCTGAGCTCTGAGACTGGCCCCCTCCGCTCTGCAGTTCTTTCCACTTCACCTTCTCACCCCGTCCTCCCAAACAGAGCGAGCAGGAGCGAAAAGGTGCTGTGAGCCGGGCACGGGCTGCGCCGGCGGAGGGGGGAGGCACCAGGGGCTTCCCACTGGCTCTGCCCAGAGCGGCTTTCTGTAGGCTTTCCGAGCACCATGGGTCCCTAAGGTTAGCGCGGAGAATGCTTGGGTCCCCCGGAGCACAGCAGGGGGAAGTATACGCGGGCGAGACGAGCGAGCGGGAGCGGGAGAAAGAGGCAGAAGAGGGCGCCTCCGCGACTCACGCAGAGGTGGGGGCGGGAGGAGCCGGAGGGAGGAGGCGGCGGCGGCGGCAGGCGGAGGGGCGGGAGGAACGGCCGCTCGCCGGCTCCCGGTGCTCGCCGAGCGGTCGTCAGCGGGTGGCCGGCGCCCCACGGGGCGCTAATAAGGCGGCCGGAGCCCCCCGGCGGCCCCTCCCGCCGCGGCGCCCACGTCACGCGGGGCCGGCGCCCGCGCCCCACGCGCCCGACGGAGCCGCCGGGAGGGCGCGGCCCGCGCAGGAGGACGGCGGGGAGCGGGGAGCGGAGAAGTGGGGGGAGGACGGCGCGGGCGGCCGGCCGGGCCGGGGCAGGGTTCGAGACCGCGCGGGGGCCTTGTGGAGCTCGGGGTCGACCGTCCCCCCAGGCTGAAATCCTCTCCTTCGCCGCCTGCTGGCGAAGGCTGCGGTCCAGGGGAGCCGCGGGCCCCCACGGACCAGACAGGCGTTGAGTTAATTATAGGAAGGGGTAGGGTCAAGGGCCGGTTCCTGGCTTTCGGAAATTCATCTCCTCCCACCGCCACTGCTCTCCCAGCCAGGACAGCCTACCCGAAGAGAACCCCCAACAGCACCTCCGCGGTTCTGTCCCCGCCAGACTCCATCCGCCTACCACGTTTCGCGGGGGTGATCCCTCCCCCGCTTTAAGTTCTTGTTTATGCTTTATTCGTTTATATTAGTTTTAAGATACCATGTCTCTTCTTTGACTCATCCGGATGCTTCCGTTTATCACTACAGTGCACAACCCCAGAGTGTTCTCCTCTCAGTAAGATTAAGTTATCAAATGATTTCTGCCCTGTGTGGCCCGGAGCTCCTGGGAGGGGATGACACCGACCTGGGCTGCGGAGAGGTGAGAGGAGCTTGCTGGAATCCAAGCCCAGGCCCGCTTCTCTGGGACAGACTCCCGTGGGCGCTCTCCAGGGAGGAAAGGGGTGGAAAACGAAGTATTTCCAACCTCCTCTGACCAGTTACTGACATATTCCCTCCCCAGACAGACCAAGAGAGGGGTGATTAGGCTCCAATTTAGAAACAATCTTCAAGACTTCAAATGGAAAGGGTCTTGAAGAAGCCTACCTAAAATAAAGTGTGTAGAAGCTGTTTATTTTGCTAAGGGATGTTACAACAAGTCAGTTCCTATTATTTTTTAAGAACGAGTTTAGAGGTTTCCTGTACTTTTGATTCATTATTTCAAGTTTGCATCTTTATTTTGGACATCACGAGATTTTGCATTCACTTACATGTAATCTGCTTAGTCCTCTCACAATCATATATCCAGGGCACTTACATACACAAACCAGAAACCAGATAAATAAATGGCCCCACCTAGTAACATGGGGCATTAGGTTAATTAGTTATTGGTTGAAATTATAATTAGACCACAGCACCAAAGTATCTCTAAATTACTTTTTCCTTTCAATTAAAGCCTTCAGCATTTTTGTAACCTGTCATTGACTTATTGTCCAGGAGTGATTTGAATTCTGTGCCTAGTTTTCTTATTAAAAAAAATAATCCTCGTGTTCTATAGATAAAAAGTATGTCTCCCAGGGCAAAATACCTCTAAAACCAAAATTAGTCAAAGGGAGAAATAAAGTTTAAAACCCATTTATAGCTTTAAAAAAAAAAAGAAAAGTATGTCAATTTACCCTAAGAAGTAAAGGAATACTCATATTCAAATCAGAAAACATGGGGTCTGGGCCCAGCTAACAGCTGTTTGACCTTGACAAGTCACTAAGCTCTATTTTGGTTTCCCCATATGAGATAGCTTAGCTCTGAAATTCTCTGATTTTAAGGAATAACAAATACTGTTTTAGCCATGAAATTACAGTAGTTCTTTTTGTGTTTATTTTACAGAGTTCAGACATTTGTTATCACCATAACTCCTGGCAGCACAAGCAATTCATGTGACTTCCATGAAAGCAGTGGCTTCAGACATTTTTTAAAGTGATCACAGACTGAAACGTGTTTTACATTGTGACCCAGTAAAAATTTCATGATTTAATACATACTACGTGCAACAACTCTAGTCTGTTTACTCTTCTATTTGTTTTTTTTCCCCCAATACTGGTCAGATTCACTTCATTGATTTCCCAACCCAATGAGTCATGAACCTTATTCTGACAAACATTGATACGAGAGCATATAATAAGATCTTTCTCAGATTCCAAATGAATTGAGTTCTATTTAATAAGGTTCTCCCAATACATCCTAAGACAAAGTTTCCAAGATTATGTCCTGGAATGTGTAATGTTTTACGAAAAATAAAAAAGATTCTCTGAAATTCAACTAGTTTGTGACATACTCAGATAACAAAAAAATGAAGTGGATTATTTCAGATCTTCACAGGGTGTTGAATATCCTAAGTGCATTGTAAGTCTTCAAAAGGGATAGGTAGTGACTGATGGACAGTGACTTCAATGGGTATCCGCAGGGAGGGACTTGATAATATGGGTGAATGTAGTAACCACAATGTTTTTCACGTGAAACCTTCATAAGAGTGTTTATCAATGATCCCTTAGTAAAAAAAAAAGGGATAGGTAGTGCATTTGGTGCTCATACCGATAGGACCACAGAATGCTTTTTCTTCATGCTTTCTCTTTCAAGGAACCCACTTTGTAATAGAAAATGCCATGACCGACCAGTTATTAAAGGAAAATGAACTTTAAATCATATAGGTAGGATTCACATGCAGATTCAGCCTCTGTTTTCTCTAAAATTGGCTTAATAACACTGCTTTTGCAAATTGGTTATGAAAATTAATACAATCTTTCATGTAAACTGTCTAGCACATTGTCTAGAACACAGTAAAGGCTTAAATGAAGATTATTTTTAGATGAAACTGTATGGCACATGTACAGATGGCTCACTGATAATGAAATATGTCTAGTTCTGAGAAAAGTGGGAAAATATAAACAGCTAAAACATGATGAACTCTTATTAATTTTTACTGGAAATAATATTGGGAATCAAAGGCAGAGAAGTTATTGAGTTCTTTTCACAAACTGATCCCTACCTACCTGCCTAGAGTCAAATCCCTGCCCTTCCTTCCATGTTTCTTTGTTGCCAGCTACCATGTTGTTTCACACACTTGTGTCTATACATGTGCTCATGTTGATTTTTCAGTCTATTAACACCTTTCCTGTTCCTGTCCACAAGGCAGAGAACATCATATCACAGGAGATGCTAATAGGTGCTCCACAAAAATACTGAACCGATGCTTGTAGTATGTTCTCTTCCAAAATATGTTTTAAGTAGAGAAATAGTTTCAGAAGTAAGCACATATATGAAGTGACCCTAATTGTGAAATCATCCCCTTTAAGAATTAAGTTTCATTAAATCAGCTGGTGCATGGATATTTTAATCTGTGCATTCTGTATTGGCAGCAATTAACAAAGCAGAGTTGCATATTTGTGTTGTTTTCTTTTTGAGCCTGACTGGTCAGTGTTTTGTATCTTGTCATAATTTGACAACACTTTGATACCCAATGTTTACTGCATATTAAACAGATAAATAAATTTTTTGTTATTTCTTGCAGCAAAGAAGTCACTGATGTTTTTGCTGTTTACCTTTCCCACATTTTTTTATTTAAAAAAATTTTTTTGGAGCAGTTTGAGGTTCACAGCTGAACTGTGGGTGAGATATTGAGATTTACCATATAGTCTCCTGCCCCCATGTATGCATAGCACCCCATTATCAACATCCCCTAAAATGTAACCGAAGACTGGTACATGTGTTAGAATTGGTGAGCCTACATTGACAATCATAGCCACCCAAAGCTCATAGTTTACATTAGGGCTCACTTTTGCTTTTGTACATTATCTATGGGTATGGATAAATGTATAATAACATGTTTCCATCATATAATATCATACAGAATATCTTCACTACCCTAAAAATCCTCTGTGTCCCATAATTCATCCCTTCCCACCCCCAACCTTTTGCAATCACTGATCATTTTTACTGTCTCCATATTTTGTCTTTTACAGAATGTCATATAGTGGGGATCATGCATTATGTAGCCTTTTCAGATTGGCTTCTTTCACTTATTAATATGCATTTAAGTTTCTTCCATATCTTTTCATGGCTTGGTAGCTCATTTTTTTTTAGCACTGAATAATATTCCATTGTCTGTATGTACCACAGTATATCCACTCACCAGTGAACGACATCTTGGTTGCTTTCAAGTTTTGGCAATATGAATAAAACTGCTACAAACATCCATGTGTGGGTTTTGTGTGGACATAAGTTTTCAACTCCTTTGGGTAAATACCAAGGAGTATGATTGCTGGATCATATGGTAGGAGCATGTTTAGTTTGGTAAAAACAAAACTGCTACACTGTTTTCCAAAGTGGTGTATCATCTTGTATTCTTATCAGCAATGAATCAGGGTTCCTGTTGCTCCACGTCTTAGCCATCAGTTTGCATGTAAGTGTCCCCAGGTTCAGCCATTCTAATAGGTATGTGGTGGTTTCTCACTGTTGTATTTCATTTGCATTTCCTAGATGGCATATGAGGTGCAGCATCTTTTCATATGCTTATTTTCATCTGCATATCTTCCTTGGTGAGGTGACTCCTAAGGTCTTTCACCTACTTTTTAACTGGATTGTTTGTTTTCTTATTGTTGAGCTTTAAGAGTTCTTTGTATGTTTTAGATAACACTACTTTAACTTTTTGTTTGCAAATAATCTTTTGCAAGTATTTTTCCCAGTCTATGACTTGGCTACTCACTATGTTGACCCTGTCTTTCATAAAGCAGAAGATTTTAATTTTAATGAAGTATTTTCCCACATTTTAATATTTCTAATGACCTACTGTCAATATTCATTAGACAGTTTATAATGTTTTATTTTTTCCCATGGTAAAATAAATCTGAGAAATTCTGTACTTAAATTTGTTCAAAGTGTAAGTAGAGAATTTTATTGCATCACAGTTGACTAGATACATATCCACCTCCTTCTCTAAATTGCCACTTCCTGAGAGCACTGACATCTGCTTTATTGACTTTCAAGCACAATTTGCATCCCATACAAGTTGTATTTTAACTACTACACCCTGAGCATGTCCAGTGAAACTCATGTCCTCTT